CTGCTATTCTTCCCAGCAAAGATAACTGTAACTTGTCCCATTTTTTTTCATCTCTGTCTGTATACTATGCTAACGTGGTTCATAATTATACTTATATAATTTCCCATTTGAGGTTGAAATATGAACCCCTAAATATTTGACCTTCTTAACTATTTCGCATCCTATCATTCCTTCTAGTTCTTCCTTTTGTTTAGTATTCATATTTATAGCTAGTATTTTTGTTTTCCCTAGATTTATTTTAAATCCTGACACTTGACCAATAAGTGGTGGGAGAAAAATCTGACTCTAGATTAATTAAATAAAGCCTGCTGGTGGTGTTTTGGGGTGTCACAGATTTTAGCTGGGTGAAATGACTAATACAGAGCCTCTTTTCACAATTACACAATATACGGAGAAAAATAGGGGGGGGACACCATATGAACATCCTGTTTTTGGCAATAAACTTGTATTTGCCTTTAATTCTGGCTTAATTCTAACTCTGTGTTTCTTAAATTTAAGATGAGTGAGTTGAACTTCCAGAATTCCCAGCATAATGACTGTGGAATTCTGAAAACTGAAGCTTAAGTTTACCAAGATGAATAAATACTGTTTTCTTAATTCATTATAATGCATCTTTCTTGATTAAAGGCAGTGTTATAACAACAAAGAAATAATATTTGTAAAACCAAAGAAATGAACAGTTTTACAACTGTCTATTGATGCAGACTACACCCTCTACTTCCAAGGTGATGAACAAATTACCGTATTATATTATAAGACGCACCTTTTTCCTTCAAAAGAGAGGCTGAAAATCTGGGTACATCTTATACACTGAATACAGCATTTTTGGCCTCCCAACATCCCACCCCCTTTGCAAAAATGGCCATGCATAGCCTTTAGGAGGCTTCCAGAGTGCTCCTGGGGGCTAAGGAGGGCAAAAATGATTTTAAAAAAACAGGTCATTTTGTGTCGATAAGCCTCGTAAAGGCTATGTGTGCCCTTTTTTGACATAAAATGGCCCATTTTCATGAAAAATGAGCCATTTTTGAGAGGTCTGCAGAGTGCAAAAACTTTTTTTAAAATTTGCCTCTTCAAAATCTGGTGCGTCTTATACTCCATTATGTCTTATACTCCAAAAAATACGGTAGTCAAATTTTTTTTAAAGATGAGTCTTTTATAGAGAAACTTTAAGTATTGTCAAAACTTTGATCACTTTTTATTTGTACAAGGCCAAAACATTTGAGAGTCCTATACTATATAAATTACAATTTAATTATTTAAAAAATGTTTATATCTTTCTTACCCAATCCTAATTATTTAGTTTCATAGAAGAGTTACAAATTGCTTTATTATTTTAGAAGATCACAGTAGCATAAAGTCTGAGAACTTATGCACTAATAGATAGAATTCTTAATCTTTGAACAATCATTAAAAATTGGAAGACAAATGGTAAGGATGAATGGTTTTTTATAACAAAATGTGATGTGAAATTGTCTCAAAGGCAGTAAGGTTCAGTTATGAGAATGGTGCCCCTACATATTTCCCAGACTTCCAGACACTTGCTTTCATTTCTCTTTTTGATTACCTGGGCCAAATAGTTGGAATATGTGGTTCTAACTAGATAAACTGCCATTAATGCATGGCTTCAAATAATAATTTGGGAATAGATAACCTGTTATTTCTTCTAAGACAAAGCTTTAGCAAAAGGGAATTTTAAAATGCGATAGAATGAAAAACATTACAGTAAGTAGGAATAATAGATATCAATATATAAAAGATTTAAATAAAGTTTAATTGATTAACCAATTAGGAATATTTATCTAAAATTGATTGGGTAGCTATTTGTTAAAAGGCTATATTGCTACTGGTACAGATTTCATTTTATTATTATAATGCAGCTCATTATTAACAAAATGTAGGTGCTATTGTCAAAATGACATTAAATTCTATTGCTAAAAATGACATTAAAATGCATCAGAAAATACAAAGTAATAGGTCATTTACAGATATCCATATCTTTCTTAAGGAAAATTATAGAAAAATGTTTTCTGAAATTTTAGTAGGTTTACACATATTTTTAAGTACTATGGCACATACTTAACATTGATAATGCTTAATTTTAATTATTCCTTTTTTAAAGCTCCAGAAGTCATTGTCTTTGGTGATAATATTTAGACTTAGTAATAAAATTAGACGACCTGCTGACAAATTATTATATAGTTATGTTTTTGCTTTTTCTAGATTTTGCTTCGAGAAGGATGCAAGAAGATTCTTGTGGCTGACACTCTTTCATTGTTGAAAAAAATGCATCGAACACAAATGCGTGGAGTACTTGTGGATGGTAAGTTCCATAAATTGTTGCAAATACTGAAATATAAGCCTATCTCTGAGCTCTCTGAGCCCCTAAGGACTTCACAGTTCATCCCTGAGCTACAAATATTCTTTTCTGTTAAAATCTTGGCAGTTGAAGAGTTTTTGGGATTATCTCTAATTTTGTCTCCCCAAATTTTTCCCATTTATCTAATTCAATATTGTAGCCAAAGTTCTATGTTCATTTTACCATTTGTTCCTTCACAATTTCTTCTTCCATTTTGTACTTTAGAAGAAATTTATATATTCTCCCTATCATCTTTCTTTCTGTGCTTTGAATTATTTTGTCTAATTCGTTTGGTTCCATTTGGATGTCGTATAATTTAGTGTCGTTATTTGTTTAGCTTTGATTGCAAGTAGGTTAGCCAGTCGACTTTCATGTTTTGTTCTGCCAATTCTTCAATTATTTTTAAATTTCCCTGTCCATTAATTAAGTCTCTGTATCTTAGCACTTTATTCATATCTGTAAAATTTGGATGTGTCGTCCTTTCTTTTTTATTATTATTTTTTAATAGACACAAAGAAACAAGACACAACAAACACAATAAAAACATATTCCATTACAAATTATAAGGTGGATCATCCTTTCTGTCGGGGATAGCCACTTTGGGATTTTCCCATAGTGATTTTTTTTAAATTTTGAGCCAGTTGTGCACTAGCATGCTTCTAATTAGATGTTTTTGAAAGTATTTGTGTGTTTTGTTTTTATCATCCCATAGGAACATATGCCAATCTACTTGCAGATCATGGCCTTCTAAGGTCAAGATTCTTTTATTCTTTAACTCTATCCAGTCCTTCACCCATGTTATGGTTACTGCTTGTGCGTATAACTCCCAGTCTGGTAATGCTAAGCCTCCTCTATCATTGCTATCCTGCAAATAATTTATAATTGGAATTCAATAGTGAAATTGGTCTGTAGTTTTGAAGTTCTTGTAAGTTAGCTTCTTCTTTAGGGATTAGCGATATTATTGTTTCCGTCCATGATTCAGGCATCTTGGCTTTTCCTAAAACTTCGTTAAACATTTCCACTCCTAGTTCTTCCAATATTATTTGATTGTAATTGTATAACTCCATCGGGATTCTGTCTGGCCCTGGCAATTTATACTTCTTCTGGTTTTTCAGGGCTAATTCTATTTCGGCTGTCGTTATTGGCCTGTATATCACCTCTCTTTGTTCTTTTGAGATTGGAATTATCTTTTCTGGGTTTAAATATTGTTTTATCTTCATTTTCTCCATACTATCTTGCGCTTATAATTTTATGAAATATTTTTTAATAATTTGCTTGTTTTCTTCCAATTTATGTTGAATATTTCCCTCATCATCTTTTAGTTGATATATCATCCTTTTTTCTCTTTCATTTTTCAATCTGCATGCCAGCCATCGTCCAGGTTTATTGGCTTGTTCAAAGTAATTTTGTNCAAGAGAGCGGGGCAGAGACTTGTGCCCAAGCGGTGCACCTGGCCGAGGAGTTCCTCCAAAGGGAGGACCCGAATCACGAAGACGAGGTGTCGGGTCCATTTAAAGACGCATCTCACAATGTCCCCAAGGCCAGACCCGTCCTCTTTGATTCGCAGCAGAGACAATTTAGCAAAGATGAGCAAGATCACAGCATGGAAGGCAGGCATTACTGTGGAGATGGTGAGGAATCTGGTGAGCGAGAGATCTCTCCTGCGGGAACTAAAAAGCATGCAGAGGCTGTCCAGAAACTGCCTGGAAGAGGGAGAAGCATTTCCCGGAAGAACGGAAAGCGTAAGAGCAGCCCAGTTCTCCCCCCCCCTTTTTTTTTTCTTGCTGCGGCCTCCTTTTCCGGGTTGTTGCTGCTGCGGGGCTTGCACGCTGCTCTTCTTTGACTGCGCCTCTTTTGGACTAACAACGAGAAGCAGGGGGGACGAGGCTACGAACTTGCCTCTGTTTCAAACTGGTGCTTATGTCCCCCCCTCCCATCTGCAACTACCCCAGCCATTATAGACTCTGGGCCCCTGGGCCCTCTTTGGCTTCTTCTGGACTCACAGGAAGGGAGAGGAACGGAGAAACTCTCCCCCCTTTACTATCACTGATCCTCACCTCCTATCTGCACAAATCCACTTGATTGGACTTTCAAGACCTGCGCAATTTTATGGATGGAGTGTGTATGGTATGATTGTTGATGCATGAACCCACTTACTTTTAACTAATTTATATTACCTATTGTATTGTGTACTTTTTTAACTCACCATAGTGGGGAATGTATGAGTGAATGACTGTGGGTATGTATGAGAGGACTGAGAGTGCAGCCTGTACCTCCTCCACTGAGTGCAGCAGCAGAAGTGGTAGGGGGCCCAGGCCTACCTCTCGTCCCAGAATGAATGATATGAATGGCCTGCCAGGGAGAACAGAGGCCATGGGAGAGGAAGTGGGGTCTACTGGTGCGGGGATGGGCCGGTGTATCCCGGTCATAGTTGGGAGAGGCAACGGGAGTTATATGGCTAGCCATTACCGGGGAAAGAGGGTTTGCTACGTCACAGTGATTCCCCCTTCCGGCCCTGTTAGCTCCACTCCAGGACCAGATGGCGAGAGTTGTCAGGACCCTGGTCTCAGGCTGCTGTTGCTAAATGCCAGGTTTGTAGTTCACAAAGCTCCCCTCGTCCGGGGCCTAATATTAGACGAGGGGGCAGACCTGGCATGTATTACTGAAACCTGGCTGGACCATGAGGGAGGAGTCCCCCTCACTGAAATGTGCCCAGAAGGGTTTCAGGTGCTCCACGACACCAAGGAAGGGGTGGAGGAGTGGCAGTCATCATCCGAGAGTCACTAGTTCCTTGTAGGATCCCTGCTGTAGAGATTGTCGGGTGTGAGTCCCTGCTGGTAAAGTTGGACCTTGGGTGTCAAGTAGGTTTGTTTCTAACGTACCTACCTCCCAACAGCGTTACAACAGCCCTGCCTGTTCTCCTCGAGTCAGTAGCCGAGCTGGCGGTTGAGTTCCCCAGGCTTATAGTGCTGGGGGATTTCAACCTGCCATCGCTCGNGCTTTAATTTTCTGTGCTAATTCTTTTTGGATTATTAAATTAATCTTATGTTTTATCATCTCTCTTTTTTCTTTTTTAATTTTATTCTTTGAGTCTTTCTGTAATTCAGCTTCGGCTTCCCTAAGTTCTTTTTGCATACATTCTTGTTGCTCTTTTTGTTTTCTGATTTTTCTCACTATATAGGCGATCGTGAGGCCTCTTATGTATGCCTACATGATATCCCAGAGATTTTGTATTGAGGTGTCTTCTTTTTGGTTCGTTCTAAAAAATAATTTTAATTCTTTAATATTTGAGTGTATTCTGTTTCTTTTATCATTCATCTTTTTCTTCTTTTTTGGCCATTCCATTTTAATTTTATTGGGTTATGATCCGCCCACTCATTTGTTTCAATTTCGATTTCCTCTAATTGATTACATAGTCCAGATGATATTCAGGCCATATCAATTCTCGACCAAGATTGGCAAGGGTTCGAATAGAAGGTATACTGCTTTCTTGTTTTGTGCCTTCATCTCCAAATATCATATAGTTTATATTCCATTGCCATTTAAATAACCTATTTTTGTCTATTTTTTTACTTTCATAGTCCATCTTTTTATCCACTATTGCGTTATAATCCCCAATTAAGCAAATATTTTCATACTCTAATCCATTTATTTTGTTGTGTAATTTCCTGTAGAATTTCTCTTGTTTCTGATTTGATGCATATATCACTATTAATAAGATCAGTTTTTCTGTTGTCTCTAGACTCCTGCCTTCTTCATCAGAGTAGACTGCTTTGGAGTTTATTTTTTCCTCTATATAGGTTGCTATCCCTTTTGACTTCTACTTTCTAGGTCCTCTTTACTTCCTTATTCTTCTTCTCTTGTGAAGTATTTTTCGTAGAATTCTTGCACTTTTTCTATGTTATCTATTTTTTATCTTTTTCCTTGCCAAGAGACCAATATCCCTTCCGATACCAACCATCCATACATTATTCTGTTTTTATTTAACTGGTTAGTTAAAAATTGGTCATCTATGTTGTTCCCTGACTCTCCGTGGTATCAGTTTAAGAGTAATCAACTCTTTTCCCTTGTATGTTATTGTCCCTTTTCTAGTTTTTTTGTACACTTCATCTCTAGTTGTTCTTTTGGCAAATCTTACATGCACTTCTTTCGATAGTCTATGTCTTCTGACATAATTGGTGTGTACATGGTAAACCTCATCAATGTCTCCTTTCATCTCTTGTTCCTTTCTCTGTAAAATTTTAGGAAAATTTTGGTCATTTTTCCTTTCAAGTCTTCCTCTTTTTCTTCAACTATGTTTTGGAATCCTAGATAATATGAAGCTATTTCCATTTCTTCTAACTCTATTAATTTATGAATATTGCAACTCCATTCTTTCCAACCTCTGATCTGTATGTTCTATTTTTGTTTTGATGTTCTGGATTTTCTGTTCATTGATGGTTATGATGTTCTGTATCTTTTCAATTTTGTCATCCATGTTTTTGATATCTCCTTTCAATTCTCCCATTTTGTTTTTAATTTCCTCATAAGGTTCCTCCTCGTCTCTTCGTGATTTGTAGCTATCTCTTCTTGGGGTTTTCATCATTGTCTCTTGTATCATCATTGTCTCTTGTATCATCAATTGCATACTTTGCATTGTTTGTGCTGGTCCCGCTGTTCCTGCCGTCTATCCACCTTTCTCCAGCCCCAATGCACTCTCGATAGATCTTTGGTTTGAGGGTGAGGATGCTGCTGATACAGGATTGGATGTTGTTTTTTCCCCTGTCTTCGTTAAAGTAATACTAGTTGCCATTTTATCCCTCTGTTTATCCTCGCCCACAGTTGCATACAAGTTCTACTCTACTTTATCACAAATATCAGTGGTTATATATCTCAATATTTAACAATAATTAATCATTCTTAATATCATGTTTTAATATCTAGACTATCCGATATTCTATTTTTAATCCTTAACTATTATATATATCACAGAATTATATATCACACTGTTATCTTATGCAAATAAATATCTCTCAGTTATATCTGTTATACAGATACTCATTTCTAATAATCAGCCTCTCTATGGTTTTCTTTCAATAATTCCGCTTTCTTTTTTTTCCAGTTTCTTCTAGTTCTTAATATTAATATTACTTATGTATCCTTATTGTAGATGTATGTATGTGTATATATGTATAAATCATTTCGGGTTTCCCTCTACAATCACTTCTATTATTCACGCTGCCACTTTCCACTCCCCACCTCTGCTCTCGCTGCTTTTCGGTACCAATTCAGACTGTAAAAACAGTCTTCACCACAGAGCCTTTTTCTTTCCAGCTCACCTGCTCTGCCAATTTCACATTGTCCTCCTTTCTTGGGTTGTCGATGATAACAAATGCCTCGATTTCAACTGCTTTTTCTATTTGCTTCCCTCTTATGCGGCCACCATCATTCCAGTCCTGTCCAAATGACAGGATAGCTCTTCATCCATTTAGTGGGTTTCTCCTACCCACAGGGGCGGGGTGTTGCCTTACTACCCCAGTGTCTTCAGAGCTTCCACCTGAATCTGCTGAGCCCTTCAGGTTTCGCAGTGCTCAAAAGAGAGTCCAAACAAAGAAAATTGGGTTACAGGTTACTGGAGCTGCCGTTCCTCAACCCCAGCACGATGACGTCACTGCAGAAAGTATTAATATTTTCATTGATATCAAGACCTATTTTTCATATATAGGTAGTCCTTAATTTATAACAACAATTGAGCCCAAAATTGCTGCTGCTAAGCAAAATTGACTTACTTGACTTAAGTCTTTAGCGTCGGTACGGCATCGCCAATCCCTTCGCTGTAGAGTCGCATGCATCCCGGAACGGGATCCATGATTCTAGGCTAAGTACTACTTGAGCTCGCCGGGCCCAAGAGTCGACAGAGCCCCTTCTGTTGGAAACGGTGGGCACCTCGAGAAGGCAGGGGTTGTCTTGATAATGAGAGGCTGTATTTTCGCGTCAATTATCCTTGCCCACCACTAAGCAAAATAGTTGTTAAGTGACTTTTGTCCCAGTAATTTCAGTGATTAAGCAAATCTGGCTGCCTCCATTCACTTTGCTTTTTGGAAGCTGGCTGGGAAGGTTATAAATGGTAATCACATGACTTTGGAACATTGCAACCATCATAAATGCATGCCAGTTGACAAGCATCCACATTTTGATCAGGTGGCCATGGGGATGCTGCAATTGTTTTACATGTAAAAAATGGCCATAAGTTACTTTTTTCAATGATGTTGTAACTTCAAATGGTTATAAATCAAGGACTATCATGTTTCCCTGAAAATAGGACATGCCCACGGACGGGGAAGGGAAGCAGGATGTTGTTCCCATTGTGGCGAGCTGGAAGATGTTGGGGCGCGAGACGCACATCTTACAGGACACTGACATCTACCTTGTGTCTCTCGGCCAGTCTGTGCCTTGCACAATAAAGAAAAACTACTCATGAGTTCTAGAAGTTAATTGCTCGCAATTACAGAGGTTTTTCTTTACCATGGAAGGTGTTTCCCTGCACAGACTGACTGAGAGATGCAACGGAGCTGTCAATGTCTGGTAACACTTGCAGCCTGGCCTGCCCCATGCCCTGCCCCCTCTGCCCCTCCAAATTGTGCCCCATCAAAAGACACGTGTCTTACTGGAGACTGGCAATTCCGTCACATTCCTCACCATTGTGTCCAGGGAAACGCCTTGTAAAAAAACCTTGTCGCGAGTTCGAGAAGTTTGATTAAACTTTGATTATGTGTTTCCCTGGACACAATGGCGAGGAACGCGACAGAGCTGGAAAGGTAAGACACGCATCTTGCTTCTCAACCACCCCACCTGCCAGAAAATAATAACATACAGACCCAGATAATAAGGCCAAGGCCATATTTCGGGGGTAAAAAAAAAATAAAACCCTGTTTTATTTTTGGGGAAACACGGTACCTGTACTAAAAAATTTCTCAACTTTGAGAATTACTGCTCAAAACAGAAACAAATCTATTATATTAACCTTTGTATGTCATTATTTTTTCTTATAGAGGAAAATATCTGTGAAATATGCCTTTCTCCTATACTGCCTACAGGTATGATTATATGGCTGTACTTTGCATTCACTATACATGTTCTGTAGAGAATAAATATGGCTGGAATCTGTTTAAAATATCTGATTACTGCAATGTTAGTTGTTAGAAATGTTATTTTAGTGCCCCACCAGTAGTCCGTATACCATTGGAACCCTTTCTGATATTTGCTTGAAACGGTTGGTATTGCTGCAAGAGATATATAAAACAGGTAGTTCTCGACTTACAACTAGACTCCTTTCAGCAATTTTGCAGAATTGAGAAGTCAATACATTTCAGTTCCAAATATGAAAAAAGTACCCTATGGTTCTCCAAAATTCATAACTGTAGTCTCCACTATCAAAATGTTGCCTCCCAGATTTAAAGTAATAGTCCAATTATCTCTGCTTCCTTTAAAAAAAGATTAGGACTACGCTATTTTATATGATAAAGAAATCCAATTTACAATATGACAGTGCAACGTCATAGTTATTTATTTATTTATTTATTTATTTATTTATTTATTTATTTAATAATGTATAGGCTACCCAATCCTGGAGGACTCCGGGCGGCGTACAAAGTGAAAAGAAAAGTAATTAATAAAAAATAAGGAGAACAATTTAAAACATCACCCATACACTCAATCTGATTGGGGCTGGACCTCAGCAGTGAGGTCAACAGCCCCAGGCCTGCCGGAATAGCCAG